ATTGACATGTTAACTAAAAAAAACTGATGAAGAGAGCAACGCTATAGGCAACTGCGGGGAAGGACTGCGGAAGCGCTGACGAACCACAGAGCTGATGAGAGTGTTGCGGGAAGGGCATGTCAGCGATTGCGAGGGAAGGAGCACCGACCATCCTGGATCCGCGCCAAATGTGTTCACTCCATGAAAACAATCCAATTCAATTCGTGGTGTCGCAATACAGCATACTCCAGGCAAGTTTTCGTCCATTTTCACAACCTGTGTCCTTGATTTAAACAACTTAGTCTCCATTTACTTTTAACAACAGCTTCGCATTCAGATGGTTCCCTCGTCCTCAGGGCTTGTAGACATGGTGTTGGGTTCATCACTGACTGCCATCTGATTTACCAGCGCCATACGAGGCCGTCAGGCACCATTTACGCGCGAGAGGAAGGCCAATCAGAAGAGAGCAGGACGAACCTATCGGAGGCGAGCGCAGATGGCCTATTTAAACCTTGTATTTCTCACTTGGTCTTTCTCCGATGATGTGCTCGAGCATGAGTACGAGACGCCTGATGAAAAAACCTTCTTCCCCAGAGATCGCCTTATCTTACTCTTCCATCTTAACACCTGGGGTCAGAATTTTTGCCTATATCCATGAGACTTCCGGACGCGAAACGCTTCGTCAAGCACGGCACTGGGAGTTATTTTCCTGTAGACAGGGATCTACATGGGAGCAATTGGCCTTTCTGCACAACTGCCTGAGATCAGACATTATGCCAAGGAGCGTCTCTGTAAGACCACCAGCTAGAACTGATTTCGGTCGTGAGGTCGCCAGGAGCTGCATCTGACAACTACTAAAAACATTCTTCAACGAATGCCACGTTCGTCTGCGGAAAAAACGGCAAGGATATCGAAATGGCGAAAGCAACATTTGCATCATATCTGGAGACGGAAACACTACGAAAGCTGGAGAGCTGGATCTTGATTATGGCGAACGAGGAGCGAGATAAGAAGAAGCCCCAACTCCTCAACAAAATGTATAGTCTAAGACAAGCACAATCAACGGTGTCCGGACCGTCATCCGTCCACAACCTGTCATCCAAACAGCTGACAGACGACTAAGTTAAAGTGCTTCAACATGAATCTAGTTACAACACAGGAGACGCACAACCAGTGGACTTCATCGCTGCACTAGAAGCGACATTCTCCAAAAACGGATACCACGAAACACTCAAAAAACTCGTTTAGTTAACGAGTCGCGTCCCTCATCATATCCCACAGACCACGCGGAACCATCCCCCGGCAGAAGTAAAGGCCATCAAGTAACTAAAGAGGAACGAAGAAATTGTTTTTGTTCCAGCAGACAAAGGGTGGGTAACCGTAGTGGTAGACAGGTCGGAGTACGTCGCAAAAGCGCAGCAACTATAAAACGACAACCAGTCATATAAAGTCATAGACTCCGACCCCATGATAGCACTGGTGGACAAAATCAACAAGAGCCTGAACCAGATAAAGCACCAAAAGGCAATATCCGAAAAGGGTTGGAGAAAGATGAAACCACAAGATGCTGCCTTAGCGCGCTTTGATGGTTTGCCAAAAATCCACATGCCAAATGTTCCCCTACGGCCCATTGTGGCGCTGAAAGGCGCGCCCACAGACAGACTGGCTAAATGCTTACCAAGCATTTGAAGAAGCTGACAGACGGCTCAGAACACAGCCGTATCGTCAAAAACTTCCTGGAAAGACTCAGAGGAGTCATAATAGCCTTCGACGAAATAATGGTGTCTTTTGACATCGTCTCTCTATTCACCTCCATCCCTAAATTATTGGCCATGAGAGTTGTCGATGACCAACTGAAAATAAGGTACGACGAAGAAGGTAAACCTTCTAAGAGGAGGCACGCGATGGAACTACTGGACTACTGTTTACTCACGTACTTCACGTTTAGCGGTCAAATTTACGAGCAAATCCAGGAAGCCCCAATGGGGTCCCCGATCTCCGCCAACCTGGTTGAGGCAGTCTTGCAGGAACTGGAAACTTAGGTCTTTCAGACCTAAAAGCCGAAATTCTAGATGCGCTATGTAAACGACACCTTTGTCATCCTACAACGAGACGCGAAAGACAACTTCAAAAGGGAAGTGGACTCAGTTTTTCCACAAATCCAATTTGCCATGGAGGAAGAAATTAACGGAGTGCACCGTTTCCTCGACGTCCCGGTATCGAGGCAGAAAGACGAAATCCACCAGACTGGTGTTTTTCGAAATACAACAGACACGGAGAAAATTCTCCACTACAACAGTAACCATCCCCTATCGCATAAGCGCAGTTTTGTCCAGATACGTTTTCGCCGCATCCACACACACTGCAGCACTGAAGCCGAGAAGCTGCGGGAGCGTAAAACCCTATGACGCCTCTTCCTTGCCAATGGATATTGACGCAGTTTTGTAAACAAATGCTTGTACCGAAGGCACACGAAAACCGACGACGAGTAGAAACAAAGACACTAAATCTTTCGTGTTTAACCCTACGTGTGTAACGTCTCCGAAGCCACTGAGCGCTCAGCAGGCTAGCCGATGATAAAGCATCTCTCCAGAAGCAGACAGTTTTTCCCTCATATCGAAGCCAACCGAAGCCGTTCATCCCGCTTGTCCAGTCTTCCCATTCAGCCCGTTGAAAACACAGCTGCCACCTGCTGGTATCGCACCACCTTTGGTGTTAAAGCCAGTCGCTGCATCTCTCACTACTCTTTCACCTTCAAGCAAAGCAAACGGGTAAAACCGGTTAGCCGGAAGGTCAGTGCAGTTAATCTTCCCGACAGCTCTAACCCTGGTCGAACACTTTACGTCCGCGACACCTGGAGTGGCAGGCGTTTCTTGGTTGACACTGTTGCCCAGCTAAGTCTCATTCCACCCACACCAGCCGATCGTCGCCGCCCAATCCCGGCCGTTTCCTACAGTCCCTCAACACATTGCCGATTACCACATTTGGCACCTGCCTCCTCCCTCTGGACATCGGTCTCCGGCGTCTTTTCCCTTGGGTCTTCGTCGTTGCTGACATCCCCTGTGCCATTCTCGGTGCAGATTTTCTCGCCGCTTTCGATCTTTTGGTCAACTGCCGTCAGTCCCGTCTACACGACAAGACTACCAACCTCACTGTCCGGGAGATCTCTTCCTTTTGACGCTTCTCGTCAACTTGCCGTCTTGGACCCGGAAACTGAGAATTCATCTCGGCAACTCCTCGCCAAATACCCCGGCCTCACTCGTCCCAACTTCAACGCTTCAATTCCACCACACGACGTTGCTCACCACATCCGGACCATTGGACCGTTTTCTCGGCCCCGCAGTCTCGCGCCTGCACGTTTTGCTGCCGCCAAGGTCGAGTTCGAGCACATGCTTCAGATGGGCATCGTCCGTCAGTCTGAAAGCGCATGGGCCTCAATCCTCCACATGGTTCCAAAGGCCGCCACTGGTGACTGGCGTCCCTGCGGTGATTACAGGGCACTGAACAACGTTTTTGTCCCGGACCGCTACCCTTATCCCCATCATCAGGATTTTGCCGGTGCCCTATTCAGCAGGTCTGTATTTTCGAAGATCGATTTGCTACGTGCTTTCCATCAAATTCTCATCGTCCCAGAGGATGATTCGAAGACGGCCGTCACCACCCCCTTTGGCCTTTATGAGTTCCTGAGCATGCCGTTTGGACTTCATAACGCCTCTCAAGCCTTCCAAAAGTTCTTAGACAGAGTGCTTCGCGGCCTACCATTTGTCTACGCCTATATCGACGACCTTTTGGTAGCTACAGTGCGTGACCTATCTCATGAAATGTTGGCTGAAATTCTGAAATGCGTTTTCGATTAGAAAGGATTACTTAGTCGCAGTTGTGATACTGATTATCTTAAGGCATACTCTTATAATATTTTGGACTCGGCAGGATGTCGGCTTTTAAATGCACTTCTTTTCCTTTTCCTGTAGAAAGCGTGCTCGGTAAAAAATGACTACTTATGTAGCATGCATTTTTTCCATTGATTTTCGATGGTCTTGGAAATTCAAATATATTTTATAGAAACCACAAACAAAAATATTCTTTCTTTTAGTCAATCAATAGAGAATCACGTCTTTTTTATATTTATATTTAAGAAAGGAGTATAATTAGGTTTTAAAAAAGTTTCTAATTATGAGACTTTTTAAAACCGCGATATGTCCATTCACATAGCATCGTACCTGACCGTTTACCACTGCTCCTCATGAAATGTACAACATGGTCCGCATCCATTGCAACATTTTATGGACCCTGTATGATATCTCTTTAAGGACATAGAAAAATATGGGATTTTCCTTACGCGGAACGCACGCTCCTTGTACAGTGTAATCACTAAGCGCTAATGCAACGAATGATAAGGCTCCAAATTTTTCGGCAATTAGAAAACGTTTTTAAAACCTAATTATACTCCTTCCTTAAGTATAAAATATAAAGAAGACGTGATTGTCTATTGATTGACTAAACGAAATCATATTTTCGTTTGTGGTTTCTATAAAAGATACTTGACTTTCCAAGACCATCGAAAATCAATTGAAAAAATGCATGCTTATTAAGTAGTCATTTTTTGCCGAGCACGCTTTCTACGGGAGATTGAAAAAAAGTGCATTTAAAAGCCGACATCCTGCCGAGTCCAAAATATTATAAGAGTATGCCACAAGATAATCAGTATCACAACCGCAACCAAGTAATCCTTCCTAATCGAAAACGCATTTCAGAATTTCAGCCAACATTTCATGAGATAGGTCACGCACTGTAGTTTTACTGCCGAAGAAGACATGGAGCATCTTGCAACGGTGTTTGACCGCCTTCAACAATTTGGCGTTGTTCTCGAGCCGTCCAATTACGTCTTCGGTGTGCCCTCCGTAGAATTTCTCGGTCATCTGGTTGACTCCAACGGCATCCATCCTCTTCCCTCGAAGGTTGCGGCCATGCGTGATTTCCCTCCTCCCTCTTCCAAGCGTCAGCTGTAGCGATTTGTGGGCATGATTAATTTCTACCGCCGGTTCCTCGCGCACTATGTCGGCACTATCCTGCCGCTCATGGGCCTCCTCTCGGGTCCCAAAGGTTTGTTCGAGCTGTCTGTAGGCGCTCTCACTGCTTTTGACAAGGTGGAGGCTGTCCTGGCCGACGCCACCCTCCTGACGGATTTTTCTTCCTATCGCCCTCATGGTCGACGCCTCCAATGTTACAGTAGGCGCGGCTGTTCAACAGCCACTTGCAAACCACACCCAACCCTTAGCTTTCATCTCCAGGAAGTTATTACCCGCCGAGACGCATTATAGCACATTTGAACGGGAGCTCCTTGCTGTCTACCTCCCCGTGAAACACATCCGGCACTTCCTTGAGTGCAGGGACTACACTGTGTTCACCGATCACAAGCCCCTTTCGTTCGTTCTCAAGTTCACCTCTGACTAGCTCAACCACCGGAAAATTTGCCAACTGGACTACATCTCAGTTTACCTCAGACATCCGCCACATCGACGGGTCACGCAATGAGGTGGCTGTCACACTGTCCAGGCCTTCCATCGCACATCACCGACTTTCTACCGGGATCAACCTAGCTGAGATGACTGCCGAACAACGCCGTGTTGATTCACCCCTGTAACGAGGACGTTTCCGAACCCCAACTCCAGCACCTGCCACTGACTGCTGGCAAAGACACCATCGTATGCGACGTCTCCACCACTTTCCACCGTCCCTTTGTGCCACCATCCCTCCGCCTCAAAGTCTTCTCCTCCCTGCACAACCTTTCTCACCCTGGGAGTCGAGTTACCGAGAAGCTGTTTTCTGGCTATTTCGTCTGGCCTGGTCCAACGACACAACAAAGCTCACATTGGCACCTTCCCTACTCCGGACGCACGGTTCCGTCATGTTCACCTGGACATCTTAAGCCCCCTGCCACTGTCCAATGGCTGTTCCTATCTCCTTACCTGCGTGGATCGATTCACCCGCTGGCTGGAAGCTATTCCTCTGCCTGATGTCGCTGCTACAACGGTCGTCAAGGCTTTCCTCAGTCGTCGGTGCTCCCCCCACTATCACGACTAACGGCGGTGCCCAATTTAAATCTAACCTCTTCCAGTCTCTTCTCTCATTTTTAGCCTCTACTCAAATCCGCACTACAGCCTATCATCCGGCAGCCAATGGGACGGTCGAGAGGTTTTACCGCCAGCTGAAGGCCTCCCTGCGCATCGTGGACGATCCGGAGGACTGGACAGACCACTTCCCCTGATCCTGCTGGACATTCGCTCCTCCCTCAAGCCGAACCTTGACTGTTCTGCTGCTGAACTCGTGCTCGGTGCCACCATCCGACTTCCCAGTCAGATGATCTCGCCAACCCGGCGAGTTGCAGTTGAGAATCCTACCAGTCTCCTGCATCGTCTCCGGCAATTCATGCGGACACTTTCCCCGGTTCTGCCCAGGCCATCCGTCTCCGAGTCTTACCTCGAGAAAGACTTGGCGACATGCTCTCACACCTACCTCCGATGTGATCAAGTCTGCCGGCCCCTGGAACCATCCTACGACGGCCCCTTCCGAGTTATCTCCCGTAGGACGAAGACTTTCCGCATCCAACGCGGAACACGCGAGGAGGTCGTGAGCGTGGACCGTCTCAAAGCTGCCGTCCCGGACACTCCTCTGGATGAGCCCTGTGGTCCCCTACCCCCTGCTCCGCCTCCCCGCCCCGCTATCCCTCCGTCCCGTATACTTCCTTTGCCCCGATGTCCGCAACCAACAACTGCAACTACCCCTTCATCAACCAACAACACTCTAACCGCGAGTCATACACACTCTACTCCAGTGTCCCCTATATATATCACCCGTAATGGACGCCATGTTTGCTTCCCTTACCGTTTGCTGGTGATGTTTTTTAGACATCAACAATTCCCTTGGCGTCGCTACGCGCCGCCTTCGGTCTAGCTGGGGGGTACTGCGGCAGTTTGCATCTCTTGCCTCCCACCTTTGCCACGCTGCCTTCCTGTCCACCTCACACTCCTTGTCAATATGCTGCTGGGACGCGCGCGGCTTGTCACTAGCTTCGCGAGTGCTCGAGGCCAATCAACGTGGTCCCCCTCTGACTGGCTGGCGGATGTGGAGACAACGAAAGGCGCACACACGCGCTGGGTGTCAGCACCTCGAAGGCGGACACAAACAAAAACTTGCTTTGAGCGCGCTCGCGGCGACTGCCTACAGCGCCTTTGCGTACGCAGTCTCAAGACAGTAAAGGCTGTCCAACTCAAATCGCCTTCCCTGACTTATGATTGGGAATCTTTGTCTTGTTGACCACACTACTTTCGACAATTCCATACAGAGTTTGAAATACAGCTCAATGTATTGAGTCGGGCACAAAAGGGCGAGGGAAAGGAGTCGAGACGTCACAAAGTATGGTAGCAGAGCCGGTGGTCAGAGGAACGTCTTTGAGTTGGATACCACTAACGGACTCGTCGCCAGGACAACCGACTCGTTGTTGCTCAGCTGCCATGGCGTCAAGGTCGAACCCGTGTGATAGTTGGAGGGAAGACAGTGAGGGCCTGAACAGCGTATCAGCTGCCTCATTCGTCGTTTACGTGCCTACGACACGCCTCAACACTTAGTCCGACGATTTGTAAGTGCCTGTATTCTTTCTCTCATTCTTTATTGTTCTGCCGATATTTGTCTTGTCTTGCTTAAAAATATGTGTCAATTTTAAGAGGAGTCTTTCGAATGCATTCTTCTGTTGCCGTGTTTCTTCTTTCATTTTTATTCGATTATATCAGTCAGCGACATTTCGCAATGGTCAAGCAATTTGCTGATCGAATTCTGAATGATATTGTCTATCCTCTTCACTCCGAAATAATTGCTGTAAAGTCACCTCGTCCCATGCACAAAGGCTTCCGACGTATTTCTTGTCGTACAGCGGAATATCAACATTCTGTATTGCCACTTTTGTCCCGATAAGCTACGTGAAAATGGAGCGAAATACAGAAACTGAGATTTAAAATGTCCCCGTAATACTTGTTCACTTTTATGTAAACGTATTTACTTTAGCAACATTTTTATTCGTATCCTGGTCAAAAGTAATGAATACATTTGTGCTAAAAATGGTGAATGATACTTTTAATTTAAAGCGTACTCCTCTCTTTCTATATAAAAGGAACATTTCATCGATATTTTCATAGTCACCTAAAACGTCATAGCTCGCTACTTACACTCATTACTAGATACACATCTGAGAACCAAAGAGGGACGACGGTTGGATAAGCATAAGTCAACATGTGCCGATGTCACATTGTTAGCTACTGAAATAACAACTTTGAAGGCTAACCAGGCGACCGGAGTGACCACTGATGAACGAGGTGCCGATATATTCTCTCCGTTAATGCCCCTAACCGTCGATTGTAGTAATTTATCAGTAAAAAGGCGTTTAGTCTGTGAGTGCGCCCTCCTTAGAGTCTCATATGGACTTGAAGCATATCACAACTCCTAGTTCCTGCTTTTGACTCGACTTATCATGATCTCGAGGCAGCCATAGAAGAACAGACATTTAACCATGAATCAGTTAAGAGCGTAAATTGACTCCACCTCTCATAACATAAAGAAAACGCTTCAAGGGTCAGGGAAATCTTATTCATACCAGTCGCCGTCTACTTCAATTCAAATATCTTCTGAAATATTTTCCTTATCTGATTACTCCAGTTCTGCCTTACCAACACTGTCGTGTGCGTCTCATATTTTATATCGAATAATTTATTTACAAACAAAGTTAATATCGCAGTTTTGATTTCGGCTTCCTCAGCGTCAAATCGAGTGTTTTGCCAGAAAGGTTAAATTCGGACATTTTTGAGCATTGAAAAAGTCACAACTTTGGCGTGATGGCAACGTTCGCTAAAGCACTATGCATGCGATGAAAAACCGAGATTGGCGGTTTTGCCCATTGGATTTTCTTCGGCGAATTTGACATTGATTCCTACAGATAATGAAAAAATGGTTTAAATGTTATTTTGAAACAGACCTCTAGTGCTAGACGTAAACAAGAAAAGATTTTGCGTACAACTCTTTTCTGTTCTATGGACGTACACCCATTGCAGATGTAGAATCATTCTTAGACCTAGAATCCAAATGACACTTGCTTAGAAATGGATCAGGACTCACAAATGCTTACCCGTATGGGGAGCTACTGTTCCGCTTATAGCACCAACCGCAGCAGCGTTTATTTTGGTGCAGTAATCAACGAGCCTGACGTCTCGCCAATCAAAAGCGCTACCAACGCCATCATCGAAAATCTTATGCCAGAAAGCTCGCATTAAAGAAAATCAGTTGCAGGCTGGCGATTAGTAGGCAACCTTCCTGTTACACATAGGACATTACGGTTCCGCGTGATAAGGAAGGTAACATTCCTGGGAGTTCGATTTGTTACATATAGGACACTAAGGTTCTGCGTGGTAGTTTTGTTGCAAAGTAGCTTTCCATTCCTCTCGCTCTGTCTCGCTCTATTCATGTAACAAGAGCAACTATGGGTTTTATGTACACTGACTAATATCAAATTGCCGTGGCCTTCAGACCTCGTCCAGCGCATATCATGCGCCTGATCTATATCATTTATATCTTAGGTTGTGAGGCATTCCGCCATAGACCTGACTGTTGACAGGATAATACGGGGCCATTTTATCCATGACGAGGATGCCTCAGGGGTTCCAACTACAATCCGAAGTACCTGATGACTGGGGATTCGCGAAGTCTCTGATATGAACTTTGGGGGAGCGATCGCGCACCAACAGTCGAGCATCAGTCCGTTGCCTAGAAAACTTTCGACCTGCCTACAAATCTATAAATAAAACGCATTGGAGACGACTTTGAAGAATGGCACTTGAGATATGTTATATCACCGGTTTATCGCTGCAGATGACAGAGGAGGCTAACGCATGGTAGACATTGTAGGCAATACTGAGACAAAACAGGACATTGGCATACGTAGGGTAGTGACGGGGAAACAAACCTCGTTCATAGGATCAGACAAGAGTTGTTCGAAGACTGCTGTCCCGGCCTGGACGGAGTTGTGCCAAACTGACTGAACCCGCTAAACGGGCGAAATAAGTAAAAACGTCTATGATAAAAGGGGGCGTTGACGGAGATGCGAGTGCATTAATGTATGGGGAAGCGTGTAGAAAAAAACATAATGGAGTAAATTATTGCAGGCTTTAGAAAACGACATGTTTGGGCAAAGTCCGAACCAATGACAAGATGGCCAGACTATTGTTCAGAAATCGGCTCTCAGTTGGCGCAATCAGCAGAACTGTCGATGTTCATCCGGCCTATCAGGCGTTACGCACAAGGCTCCAGTCAGTCCAGAAGGGGGCGACAGCACTGGCGAACAACCCGCGGCTCATCCAAAAGTTGCAAACTTCACAGCAGGGGAGAAGGGCCAGCTACGAAGAGGGAGTTATTTTTCACACGTCATTTCAAGGTGGTCCGGCCGTCGAACTTCTTCGACTTCGGTTAAACACTGCTATCGTGCGCACGTATTTAGCTGTCAGTATAAAACTGCCTTTTCCAAACAGACGTTTACTGGCATCGATATTAAGGAAAAGCCGTCATGTCAGAATTCTTCAGTGCGCATCCGCATCGTCACTTGCGCCTGTAGGTCGAACAATCAGACGTCTATCCGAACGGACGCGAAAGCACTATCCTGAGTAGTTAAATCAAAACATAGAAAAGTGCGTCTTTAACGCAACTGCTGTTCATTTGATTTACAATGGCCGCCGGGTAGACGATAACCAAGCATTCCGAATCATCTTCAAAGTGTCCGCGGGACACTCCAAGTTCCTGCGTCCACAGATGCTTGCGACAGCAGAGGCAGTGGTTACTGAGTCAGCCACTTTAACCTCACCCTCGCATAAAGCCTTTAAGCAGGCCCTAAAGTTCCCATGGCCCAAGACTAGCCGGAGATGCCCGCTCTCGCATCCCGCCACTTTGCGCTACAGCGACGAGACAGAGGCATAACTCACTGTCAGACATCTTTTCCCCCCTGACAAAATCTGACAGATTTAGACAATAATCATCCCGACATCTGAGCGCCCTCCATCCTCGCCCCCATGCCAACTGTTCACTGGTTATTTGAAACTCTTACTATTTTGCCGTCTTATTACTGTACAGTCTTGAGGAGGACAAGTCGAAATCTTACGTTTCCCGAACTTTTTAAATGTTTACCTGCGTATCTTTGCGGAACATAGACTCAAATTATTGGAAAAGGTCACTTAAGCCAATTTTGGATTTCATGGTTATCAGTTCTTGCGAGACCGCTGCAGCTAGGCACCCGGAGGTCGGGGATCCCTCCGGGGTTCTCTGGATTGGATGGTAGGTATAACTGTTAGACGTGCAGCGTGTAGTCCAGTGGCTTCATCTCGTGTTGGTTTTCAAAAGGGTTTCCCTCTTCGTTGTATCTTATCATTAGTATATCGACGGCAACTCTAAGGACAAATTCTTTAGGGAGTCAGGTTAATAGACAGACGACGACAAACGGTACCATTGTCTCATTGGAGATATTAGGATTCCCCTGGGTTTTCCCAGGAAGTGTTTTGGGGATACCGCTGTGTGTTCTGAGCTATCATTTAGATCATTCAAAAGCCTGACAAGCCATTATGCCAGACAGACGATTTGTTGATTTATTGGCTTGTGAGGATGCATACCGAAAAAACAATGAATAAAGGGATGGTCATGTAAGTCGCGAGTCTTGATAACTTGGAATTCGGATCTAAAATACGTGATCGTTGGGGATTAAAGTTTGACATGAAACCATTGGCCCACAGGCTCGCATGAGTATATGTGTAAAGATTTACTGTCCAGTGATGTTATCCTGTTGATCGTCCTTAGAAGAAGACGAAGAGAAAGATACACGAGTCCATGATCCGGACTGGATATATATATTTATATGCTGATGGTAT